CTCGGAAGGCGGAGGCGGAAGGATCACCGGAGCCCAGCAGGCGAGGTTGCGGTGGCCGGGAGCGGCCACTGCACTCCAGTCTGGGCGACAGAGTGAGACTCCAACTCAAAAAAAAAGAAAAAAAAGTATAAAATCTACAGGAAGAGAAAAAATGCAACCCAGAGAATGTCTCCAGACACATCCCGAGTACGAACAGCAGATTCCGATGCAGGCAAGTGGCGGGCCCCACCGTGGCTCTCGTTATGTTTACGACTTGCTGGCACTGTTTACAGCACTGTATGTGCGCCACCCCTCTGGGCACTCATAAAAGCCACACGAGGCATGCGCTAGTCGTATCCCCACTTCACAGGCGAGAACACTGAAGCGCAGGGCCAGGACTCGGACTCCAGTGCTCAGGCAGCCTAGTCCAGCTCTTATCCGCTCCGCCTTCCAGTCAGACACCTCTCCAGGGTGGCTGGGAACTCATGTGTGAGTTCTTTCAAAATTTCATAAGTGCTCTAAGCCCTCCAGAGAGTACGAGAGCCTTAATAAAGGCTTTCGGTTAATGTTCCAGAAGATAATGTATATACACAGCTAGGAATTAGTTAGCAATAAAAATATTAGTCAAACTGAGGCACATTGCAAACTGCTCAGTGATTTGAAGACATAATACAAAGCTTACTTTTTTTGAAGTTTACGGTTTTTTTCAGCCTGTCCTCCCAATTTGCTAAGTCCCAAGGCATCCGGAGATGAGTTCTCTGTCTCGGAAACACCAGCTACAAGGAAGCAGAACAGCCACAATAAAATCAACACGGCGCAGTGATGTGTTTTCACAGACAGGCAGACGCGTACGCACAGGCGCCGAGCTGAAGGCTTTCTAAAGGCCACGCTTCCGACTTAATGTGGTCCATCCCCCTTAATTCTCGTAACAGCCATGAGGCACGTGCGACTCTTCTCCCCACTTCACAGGTGAGAACACTGAAGCGCAGGGCGCAGACGCAGGCCCTGGAGTCCTAAGGCTCACCCAAGCAGGGCCCGGACCCAGACTCCAGCACTCAGGTGGCCCAGCCCAGCTCTTCCCCGCTTCCTTCTAGTCAGACAGCTCTCCAGGGCAGCTCAGGACACTCACTCTGCTGCACCCCTGGGCGGCCGGGAACTCCAGCCATTGCCTGGCGGCCAGAAGTGCAGTCCCTGAGAAGGCACGTGCCCTCACGGCTCCCACCCTGCAGAGCTCCCAGCGGGCCATGCCCAGGAGGCTGTCACCAGGCCCACAGCAGGCACACCCGAGAGTGCCTTCCTCGCCCACCCGAGCACCGAGGAGTCTGCTGGAAAGAACCCACCTTGTCCGAATGCCTCCTTGCCAGCCTGCCCGGGTCGGCCCTTTTCTTTCTTGCCGAACAGGCGGCCGATGGAGGACTTGATGCCTTTCTTCTTTGGGGCTTTGTGGAGGGAGTCCTGGCTGCTGTTGCTGCTGCTGGGGTTGCTCACGGGGCCGTCCTGGGAGCCTGTGGAGCTGCGAGGAGAGAAAGCAGAGCGTTGCCAAGTGCTCTCATCATGCCAGAACACGCCCCTCGCGTGTTTCAGGCTGCCTCGGAGCCACTTAGCCTTCACGCCTCCTGGCCAGCACTGCAAGGCCCTTCACACCCACCTGCCTGTCAGGGCACCCGCATGGGAAGGGCTGGCTCCCGTGGCGCGTGCACGAAGACGGGCTCTGGGATGCCGGGACTCTCCTGTGGAGCTCTCCGGAGGAGGCTGGGACCCCAGACCACAGGTGCGGAGCCAGGGGCTTGCCCACGTGGGGCGCTCTGGCACATGTGCTGCTCCAAGGCTGCCCAAGAAGCCACAGGAGCAGTCCTACAGTCAGGATGCTGGGGTCCACCCCTCCCCTCCTGCCCTGAGCACCTGTCTCTCGGCTGGGGGATGACCATGGGCGCTACAGAGACCAACACATGCCCTCCACGCACGCGGCCTGGCGCAGCAAGAAACTCCACACACCGCGGCTTAAGAGAGGCCGGTTCGCTAGTGGCACAATCAATCATCCATCAATTCCCAAGGGGAGGCACTGAGGAAATGGTAAGGAACACATGGCACTCTCTGGGGCGACCATCCTACCAAGCAGCACTCATCAGAAGCCTGTACCTGGCTGGGAGCTTCTCCAGCTAAAAGAGGAGGCACTTCCCAGGGCAGTCAGTCTGTGGGCTCTGAAAAGGTGGAGCCTTCCTAAAAGCTGCTACCACGTAACTCCTTTGCTCCCAGACTCATGTGCCCAAACAGATGCGCACGCCTGCTGGATGCCACCACAGCCCCGGAGCTGTGACAGGCATTCTGGGAGTAACATTTCAATAAACCCGCAGAACCAACTGGTAATGCTCTACAAGTGCTGCTTTCTTCAAGAAAAGACGAGCAGATGTCTTAAGACGCAAGAGGAGGAGGCGGCGAGCACGCTCTGCATGGGGTTTCCTGCTCCTTACTTTCGGATGTCCCTGATGTCCTCGTGGCTGACTGTGTGCAACGCCCCTTTGTGCAGCCTGTCTAACCGAAGGGACCTCGGGGAGGAAGGGGGGGAGGTTTCACATTTTATTGTCGTCTTGTCATCTCGTACCTCTTCTCTGGAAGCCGGCAACTAAGGCGAGAGAAACGCAAAGTGAGTTAGCAGCAGGCGGCCAGCAAGAGTCAGAGGCCTCAAACATAACCACGGACTCATTGCAAAACCTGCTGGCGATGCTTGCTGCCAGAGCCAGGAGTCTTGCTCTAGTCTCATGCCATTCCCAAGGACGGTCTTGCTTGTGAGAAGCAGGCCCACATGCACAGCGGGCACAGAGCACAGACTCCTTCAGCCTCCCACAAAGGAGGGCAGGGACCCAGGCAGGACACGGGACGCCCCCCAACCTCCCCAGTGCAGCCCAAGACTCTGCCCTCCCTGAACTCCCCGGCACATCACGAGGACGATCACTGGGGGGCAGCAAAGGTCTGAACAATGCCTGGAAGCTCAGCATTGCAAATCTGAGCCAGGCTGGACCATCGCTGTGGAGAGCCCAGGACACGTGTGTCTCCTGATGTCATTTGGGCAGAAACCTCTTGGGCAAAATGGTTAATACTTTTTTGTCTATAGGGGAAAAACACAAGCAAGGAATAGACAGACCGTGCCCAAACATACACGTGTGTGGGTTCCATTTCTTGGTCATGTGTGGGTTGGAGGCTATAAACAGAGGCACTTATGAGCAGTTTAAAAACTTTTTGTTTGGTATGGCTTAGATGACATAATTCCAGGTTTGTCATTAAAGATGATGTCTTTCAGGCTGCCAAGTGTCTTTTTTCTTTTTTTTTTTTTTTTTGCAAAAGGATATGAGTCTGCCTGTGTCAAGCAAAGCAGGACGGCAGTAGCAGCAGTGACAGAGTCAACCTTTGGGGTCTGGGCAGGTCTAGCTCTCACGTCTGTGTTCTCCGGTTTTGAGTAGCACTAGAGTTCATGAAACATGCATGGCCAGCATTTGTATAAAAAGTGAACTTCTGCTTTTTCTTGAGAAAAATTCATTTAGAGACAGGTTCTCACTCTGCTGCCCAAAATGGAGTGTAATGGCACAATCACGGCTCACCGCAGCCTCCACCCCCTGGGCTCAAGCGATCCTCCAGCCTCAGCCTCCCAAGCCGCTGTGCCAAGCTCAAACTTCTGCTTTTTAAACGGGATTGTGCAAAGCACGTTGATCCCACTGCAGCCCACAGTGACTCCATGAGAACCAGGTGGATGTGTGCAAAACGAAGCTCAACTCGCTTAGGATGCAGCAAACTAGCAGCTAAGATACAGATAAGCCCTGTGCCCTTTCCCATTTCCAATCCTAAGACAACAGGCTATCAGAGCCAGAGAGTATCAGTATGAAACTTAACAGTCATTCGTTTTTAAAAAAACAAACACCAGGCTAGGGGGTGAGGTGACAACTGCCCTGTCACTACCAGGGGTCCACGAGCGGAGCCTGGCTCACCCAGCCAGGGCCCCTGAGGAGGCCTCCCCGGCTCATGCAGCCGGCCCCGCCCTCTGTCCTCCAGCAAGGTGCTGCCGTCAACCCCAGCCTTCCGCCTCCACCGGTCTCAGATTCCACAAGAAAGCAAGGAGGTCCACTGAGCCTGCACCGACACTCCTGAGGCCAAGGAGGAGGGCAACGGTCCCGTGTGGGCAGCGTCGGCACACGCACCTGGCACGACAGCCACGACCGCCTGAGGATAAGGCTCCTCAAGGATGCCAGGCAGTACCTGAAGCCACCGGAGACCAACAGGACCGGGCTACCATGTCTGAGTGTGAACCCACACGCTGCTTCCCTCACCGAGGAAATCTTGCTATCGAAAAAGAAAGAAGGAAAAACAACCAAATACAAGCCAGCCCACCAGAGGGACTGTGTCCTGCTCTGCGGGTCTGAGCTCCCTGTCCCTGGGGACGGCTGGGTCTACGACCACCAGAGCAACACCATTCGACCGTTATTCTCCTCTTCTCCGAGAGCAACCAAGGAACACCCAGAGTGAGCAGCCGCTCCAGGACCCGAGCTCATCAGGGGCGGCCCCGAGAGCTGAGCCACCCTGTTCAGCCCAGCAGAGCGGCGCCCGCGGCTGCCGGCCACATCTTGGGCCTTTTCAGAGGTCATCTACCCTCGCGCATCTGAAGGGCTGTCCAGTCCCTGCACCACGAGGCAGGCTTTGGGTGGGACACAGAACACGGGCCTGGGCAGCAAGTGAGGAGGCAGCGACTGGGGGAGCACAAAGCCAGCCATCGCCCAGATGTGCTCCTGACACATGCTCCGAGGAGGCGGCCCAGGCCACAGTTACCCGAGGAGAAGGACCCTGAGCTTCCCTCTGCATGGATGCTGCTCGGGAGGTCAGAGGACCTGGAGAAAAGAAGGGCCAGGGGGTGCAGCGGCCGAGTGGCCAGCATGTGGAATGAGGCAAAAGTGAACTCAAATCTGCACTGCACACTATGTGGCGACAGCAGCAAGTTGTGTCTCACGGGATGTGTGTGAGGGTTAAATGAGATACAAATGTGAAATGCTCCAGGACACTCAGCAGACACGCTCGCTACAAGACTTCGGATCTAGGATGCTCAACCAGCAGGTCTATTGGAAATACTCCAAAATTTTAAAGAATCTGATATCCGAAACAATTCTGGTCCCAGGCATCTCGTATCATTAGTAAAGCACTCAGCACAATGCCTGGCATACAGCAAGAGCTTACTAAACACCAGCTATTATTCTTCTTATTACTAAAATTAATTTTCCCCGAATTTAAAATCTGTAGCTTTGCGACAACCCCTCATTTTGAAAATCCCATATCTACTATGAATAAGCATGCAAGGCCTGGAAGGCTGAACAGGTGGAAGAACGGCACCCTCTGACATTGGTCCCAGGGCTCTGTGAAAACCATGCCTGACCAATTTCCAGCAGTACACTCACATAGAAAAGGGCCAGTCAGTTTCAACACTTCCATAAAATGTCAACTACTCATTATCACATAACTACATAATACTATATTTACATAAAATATGACAGGTACTCTTCAATACATTATGAAGATACAAAGATATGTTAAAGTACTAAATAATTTACCTTTCTACGATGTTTCCTTAAATCACTAGGCTGATAGATGCATGCAAAGAAATGAAGAGAAACCAGATTTACTGCAAACTTTGAAGTTAAAAAGTCAAGATCAATACAGATAAATACATGAAAATGACAGGACTGATATAAGTGAGGCAGAATCTAGAAAAAATTTAACTGGAAATAGACATTTTTTGACCACAAAATTTAAATGTAAGTTAATAAAGATTTACTGGAAAAACAATATACATTATTATTCAGAAAGATAAACTTCTATTTTATTATATTTGACTTATTAAGCCAAACCTCTCTATAACTTCCGTTTTATTTAATAAAAACCATGTTATAATTTAAAATACTAAAATAAATGAGGAAGTTATTGCAATACCTATTATAAATCTAACCAAACTTACTTTTAATCACCTAGTGAACATTAACATAAAGTCCTTAGCCAGAATTTGATTTACGACTTCTCAAAAATAAAGCTATTGCTTAAAGAAAGGTACCCTGTGAAAATATGTAACAACAAAAGCTAGCATCGTCATATTATGTAGAATCTTTTTGTCCTATGACTCAGGTAAGATACTTTAATTAAAAACTAGTCTATCAGAGATAGTAGTGTGTGTTCAATAAGTCAATGAGATTTATAGTCTTGAATACAAGCAGCAAAACTGGAAAGTATATTGTTTGTGTCAAGCTTCCAATAATTGTACACTTAGCAGATTCATGCAGGGTATGTTTATGAATTACACACATCCTACATAATTTGAGTAAAAACACTCTTAACCACCGATATTGTGCCTGTACCTACACTTCACTTTTCTGAGATAGCATCTTGCTGTGCTTCCCAGGCTAGTCTTGAACTCCTGGGCTCAAGTGATCCTCCAGGCCCGGTCTCCCAAAGTGCTGGGATTACAGGTGTGAGCCACTGTGCTCAGCCATATCCACACTTACCATACCGTGATACACTAATTACCATTTATCACTACTGAGAAAAATACATTTTTTAATGAGAAAAAAACAAGCCATGAATAGTCACAGTCCAGCACAGACTCACACGCTATCAAGAGCCACATGGTTGCCTGGATACCTGGACAGGCCGAGAAGAACCGTGAGCGCACGGGGTAGGCCTGGGAAGGGAGTCGGCTGAATAAACTACAGATCGATGGCGACCAGAGGTCTGCATTAAAAATGAGCCTGGAGATGGCTAAAATAATAAAAGCAAAGGATGAAACACGAAATCAAAACTGAAGGCGGAAACAGAGACTGTCAGCCAGCATACAGGATTAGAAAGCTAGGAAACGGGAAACATGACTGTTCTTCCAATTATCTGGAAGGCAATAAGCACAGAGCCACAAACGAGACTGTCCAGAGGTTAGGATACCAGCCACTGAGTTAATGGCACAAATGACAGAACCAGTATTTCAGAATACTGCAAGGTGGACTGGCAACCACTCCACATGCCCCTGAAATAACCGTATGCTGGCTAACGATGCAACTGAAAAAGAAAACAGAGGGTGACAGAAAAAATGTGACAGAAGCACAGTTCAAAAGCAAAATGTTTTCAGTTCGAAACATGACTGCACGGGTAATACACTCACAAACATCGACGAAGTGCACGAGAAAGTTCAAACATTCCTCAGATCAACACATCGTGTCACTGAACGCCATAAGGCCACTGCGTTCCAGGTCAGAAGTGACCCTGAGCTGGTAATGAAGCAGCCCCCCCACCCCCTCCAGAAGCTGAGAAGCAGCCGCAGCATGGCTGCAATGGTGTCGCACTAAAACCCTCCCTCCCTTTCTTCATGCTGCATGGCCAGGAACCTTGGGCAGCTTCCCTAAGGCAGGGACGGCACCGACCCCCTCGGAGCACTTGTCCATGGGTGGTCTGCCTGCATTCGCTTTTGTTAGCGTTTCCCCTTCCGGCTGCTGTACCCTGCCCAGCTGCTGTGCCTGATATCACCTAAACGGTGGCACGCTCACCTGGCCATCCACAGATTAAAATGAACTCGGCACAGCTGAGTGATGGAATACTAGCTAGTTCTAAAGATCTTGAGCCGCTGAGCGTCACGAATGGGCTTGGTTTTCTCCTGGGCAGAAAAAGCAATTCCCGGCGGCCAGGGCCTAGGAGAGGTGCGCTGCGGGAGGGGCCGGGCAGGGGCAGGCTGGTACGTACTAGGGTCATGATGCCCAGTCTGTCCACTTCCCGGGCTGGACTGTGAGGGATCCTCCGGGGGGTGGAGCGGCCACTGCCTGGAGGGGAGGAGCCGGCGAGCGAGGACGCAGGGCAGGGGGGAATGGAGCTCACTGGTCTAAAACGACCAAGATTGTCGAGACTCCCGCTGCCGACGCGACTTTCGATCTCCTCGGCCCGCTGCTCTGTGTTTTCCTTTTCTTCTTGTATCAGCCTGCAATGAAAACAAAGCAGTCATCCCTCCTTTGCCAGCAAGCAGATGAATGCGACTGGATGAACAAACAAGCTGCCTCTGCTCTATACTCCCACGAGTAGCTCCAATCACGAAGTTGCGCAAACAGCAAACGCTTTAGCAAAACGTTCTACTTTACTCTTTGAACCGACTGCATCTTAGAACAGGGGTCCAGGTCCCAACTCCCGGGATGCAGACCTGTCCCAGTCCATGGCTGTGAGGAACCAGGCTGCACAGCAGGAGGTGAGTGGCAGGCGAGTGATGCTTTGTCTGTATCTACAGCTGCTCCCCACTGCTTGCAAGACTGCTGGAGCTCCACCTCCTGTCAGATCAGCAGCAGTACCAGATTCTCACAGGAGCACAAACCCTCCTCTGCAGGCAAGGGGTCTAGGTTGCGCACTCCTCGTAAGAACTGAATGCCTGATGATCCCTATTGCCCTCCAGAACCGTGGAAAAACTGTCTTCCATGAAACCGATCCCTGATGCCAAAAAAGGTTGGAGATCACTGTCTTAGAACAACAAAATCTTCCACTGAGTCTTATCGATTCGGACATGGTTTAAGTTTACTTATTTACACTAAAATTGTGGAGGGGGGCCGGGTGCGGTGGCTCAAGCCTGTAATCCCAGTACTTTGGGAGGCCAAGGCAAGAAGATTGTTTAAACGCGCGGGTTCAAGACCAGCCTGAGCAACATGGTGAGACCTCATCTCTACAATAAATAAAAAATTAACTGGGCATGGTAGCACACGCTTGCAGTTCCTTCTACTTGGAAGGCTGAGGCAGAAGGATCACTGGAGCCCAGCAGGTCGAGGCTGTAGTGGCTGTGAACATGTACCTGCACTCCAGCCTGCGCAACAGAGTGAGACTCCAACTCAAAAAATAAAATAAAATAAAATAAAACTGTGGAAGGGGCTGAATGACAACCTTTTCTATGGTTGCAATTAATAATTTCCTTACTAAGCAATGAAATACCATAATTTTACAATGCCTTTATCTCTGATTAGATCAAAGCTATACATTTATCAACATACTTCTTCAACTAGAAACCAGGAACTTAAATATACAAAATAGATCCACAAAGCAATCAGAAGTTTCCAAACACTTGAAAACATAGAGGTTTTTTGTTTTGTTTTGTTTTTGTTTTTTTCGAGTTGGAGTCTCACTCTGTTGCCCAGACTGAAGTGCAGTGGCCACTCCCGGCCACCGCAGCCTCGACCCGCTGGGCTCCGGCGATCCTTCCGCCTCAGCCTTCCAAGGAGCTGGAACCACAGGCGCGTGCCACCACGCCCAGCTAATTTTTTGATTTGTTGTAGAGATGAGGTCTCGCCAAGTTGCCCAGGCGGGTCTCGAACCCGCGGGCTCAGGCAATCCACTCACCTAAGCCTCCCAAGGCACGGGATTACAGGCTAAACCTCCGAGCCCGGCTTTTTGTTCTGTTTTTAGTTTAAACTTAAACAAAAGAGTCACTTGATAAAATTCTCCACCAGTCTCATCTAAATTCAGGATTCAGCTGAGAGTGGTGGCTCAAATCTGTAATCCCAGAACTTTGGGAGGCTGAGGCAGGAGAATTGTTTGAGTCCAGGAGTTCAAGACCAGCCTGGGCAACATAGTGAGACCCGGTCTCAATGAAAAATAAACAAATAAAAATTTAAAAACATTTTTAGTCTGGGTTCGGAGGCTCAGCCTGTAAGCCCAGCACTTTGGGAGGCCGAGGTGATGGACTGCCTGTGCCTGAGGGTTCAAGACTATCCCAGGCAATTTGGCGAGACCTTGTTTCTCCAATAAAAAAAAAAAAAATTAGCCAGGCATAGTAGTGCACACCTGTAGTTCTGACTACTTGGAAGGCTGAGGTGGAAGGATCGCCGGAGTGCAGCAGGTCAACGCTGGGGTGGCTGTGAGTGTGCCACTGCACTCCAGCCAGGGCGACAGAGTAAAAAGCCGACTCATAGATTCATGTCAACTAAACTACATTAACTTGGAATTCAGGATGGTCTTCTCTAAGGTGTCGAGGATCACTTAACAGCTGTTGCAATATCTGACTAGGCCAGTAATAATCACTCTAATAGTAAAACACAGAAACCTTGTAGTAACCATTCCAATTAAAGTTCTACTTATACATTCTAGGAAAAGTGTGTTTTTGGTCATTTTTATTAACAAAAGAAAATCTACAATCAGTAGACAGAACTTACCATTTATACCAGGTCAATTTATTGCATAAACAAAAATCACTTTTATCTAGCAATGTGCTGTAAAACATGAAAACTAAAGGCATACAGCCCTTTCGTATTTCCCAGCTCTTTCTGAGCTCTGCTCTGGTTCTGTTCATTAATTGTTATTATTATTCGTCTTGCACCTCTTCCCTGCCCAGACCCCCAGGTCAGCGATGGCTCCCTGGGGAGAGAACCTCTTCACCCGTTCTAAACGCAGCCCCTGAAACTTCAGCGGAGCAAGCCACACATGGCAGCAGCACAAAGCCTTCTTGCCAAGGAGCCTCGAGCTTTGTTTCCCTTTAGTCGACAGAAAGCTGGAGTCAGTGCTCCCCCAGCCTGTGCTAGCCTTCCCCTCTCCACGCCACGCTCACTCCACCGGGAACAAGTGCTTCCCTGTGTGAACGTTGCAGCCTCATCCCAGGGCAGGGCTCCCCCGCGTCGCTCTTCCGGCATTCAGGCTGGCCCTGGGGCCCTGCAAGCCCAGGCCTGAGGATGACTTGGGGCATGTTGCTGCGCCCCCAGACTGAGCCAGCATGGGCAGCGGCTACCTGTGGCCTCTTCATCAACATCCGGGCGATTCTCACTTCCATTTCACAGCTGGTCCAAAGTTCTGAAAATTTCCCCTTAGAGCAGCTAACAGAGTTACTAAAGAAAACACTTCTCAACTACTGATGAGTTAACATGATGCAAACACCTTCCCTTTGACCCCTCGTGTTCTACAGGGAATGAATTTTCATCTGATGTTCATTTCATATGGTGAAAGGCAACCGTAAGCAGAGAGATGCAAACCTGGAAACCGCGACTTTTCTGTGACAGGCTGCTGAAATGTGATGCTCTGAAGGACACACAGTGGCCTCTTCAGTGCAGGGATGCACAGGTAGCAGGTGACGGCAGTGCACTCCCTTCAGATCAGGGTCACGGGGACGCCTGGGCTGGGAAGGGCTGAGAAGCAACTCCCCTCACAGCCTGCCCTCTGCTCCCCCCTTGTCTGCCCTGAGCTCTACTGTCTCCTGGGAGTGGCGCTGCCCTCTGGTACTGCCCACGGAAGGCCCTACCTGCTTCTGATTCACAGCTGGCTTCAGTCTCTTCCCAGCTGCCCTATGCACATGGGCCAGGAGGCGGGGCCATCAGCCCTCCCCCACCTGGGCTCAGCTCTCCTGTCCCTACAGGCACAGCTTCCAGGATGGCCAAGCAGGGAGCCAAGCAGACTCGGAATCCCGTCATGTGGGCACAGAGCCCCTTCAGTGCTCTCCAGTGTCTGGGGGGAGGGACCAAACCCCTCTCAGCTCCCATAATCTGCCACACAAAGGCACTAGTGCCACAGCTATGGGGACTGCCCTAGCTACCTGAACTTCAGAACTTAAAATCTATTATCATGGAACACCGAGAAAATGTCAACAGCATTTGTTCCAGCCTTTCCCAAGTGGGAGGAGACTTCTCAGAGATGTGTGCGTGGGCCGCGTGCTGTGTCCCGCCACACATACCTGATCTCCTTGTTGATGGCGTCTAGCTGCTCCTGGAGCATCATGGCCAACGTCTGCGCGTCGGCCTGCCCGCCGGGCGACAACAGGTCCACTGAACTGAGGAGAGTGTCCCTGTCGTCCTCGCCATCAGACACATCCACGTCACTCTCAAATGCTTGTGCTACGTTTGCCAAGACGCTAGCTTGCTGGGCACGTTCCCAGTCCTGCTCATTGAGAGTTTGGACCTGTCAGCAAGAAAGCTGAATCTTAGCAGACTGAAAGTAAGAACATTAGCTACAGAAACTGAAACCCACCTGAAACTTAAGAGTTTTTGTTTTTCTTGAGTTGAAGTCTCTCTCTCACACATGGCCACCACAGCCTTGACCTGCTGGGCTCAGGTGATCCTCCTGCCTCAGCCTTCCAAGGAGTTGGAACCACAGGCCTGTGCCACCGCTAATTAATCCGGCTAACTTTTTGATTTCTTGTAGAGACAAGTTCTCGCCATAAAGCTCAGGCTGGTCGCAAACCCCTGAGCTCAGGCAATATTCTTGCCTCCGCCTCCCAAAGTGCTGGGATGACAGGTGTAAGCCACCACACCTGGCCTGAAATTTAGAGATTTTTAAATGAGAGCCCAGATTTCAGAAAAATGGGTCCTGCTTATAAGTTCCCACACCTATGAGCGAGCAACATTTTAGAAAAGGAGAAGACAACACCCCCAGTAACAACAGTCCTTATACTGCCTTTCGGCATTAATGTCCTAGCAGGCATTTCTATGATGCAATTTACAGCAGGGAGACAAGAGGCAGAAACAAAAGTGGAAAATAAGCCAGGGAGGGGAGGAGAGGGGGGAGGACGAAGAGAGGTTGATCGGTGGGCACAGACACACACTTAGATGGCAGAAGTGAGGCAGGTGTGCGATGGATCCGTAGGGTGGCCACATCCAGCACTGACTGTACGTTTCAAGACAACTAGAAGAGAATCCGACTGCTCCTAGAGTAAACATCAATATGCAAGGTGATGGGTACCCCAAGGACCTTCATTTGATTATATGACTATATCATATGACTACATGCATCCCCAAAATATGTACATCTAATATGTATCAATACAAAAAAATACATCTGTACCCCAACTGGCCACGCTAGTGAGAAAAAAAGTGATATAGTAAGTACACATTGCCGGGCTCACGTCAGTTGTCCTAACATCTTACAAGTGTTATCATATGATACGGGACTAATCTGCACTTCCACACCCTCCCTTCTCTGAGGCTGGCGTTAGCAAGCACAAAACAAGCAAAGAGGGCAGTGAGGGCCAGGAATGAGCACCAGCCCTGCAGACACCAGCCACGACACAGCTCGTGCGGGAGAGGCACTTCTCTGCTGGGTGACGCGGCGGATGGGCCCTGCTCATAACCAGAACACACGCAGAGAAGGCGCGAAGATGCGGAACCCCCTCCTGCAGGACTCTCTTGTGCCCCTCCACTCCGCAGACCCCCAACGCTTCCCTCCATTCTCACTCCGGGGGCGGCCTGGCTGCTCGTTCGCAGACGCACACTGAGGCCCACACCGCGTCCCACTGAGGCCAGCCTCACCTCCCGGGCACTGGCCCCAGCCCCGCCTCACACAAGGCCCTCCTGGCATCACGGCTTCTCTCCGGACTCCTCCCCCACTGGTTCGTCCATTTCTCCATTTCCCCCGTGTCCTCCTGCCCACCCTGCACCACCTCCCACAGCGAGCAGCCTTGCTCTGGCTCCCCGCCCCACTCTCCCGAACCGGCTGCAGGCTGGCCCGGAGCATGCCCCCACGCCATGCCACGCCACCCCTCAAAGGCCCACTCACTCTACATGGCTAAACCCGCAGCAGCGCCCAGTCCCGTCTGTCCACCAGATCTGGCCCATCAGCAGGGCCGGGCTCGGCTGCCCCCTTCCCCGAAGCAGCCTGCCCACGTGGCCCAAGGGCCCGCCCTCACCGTCATGCCGCCATCTCCTGCAGGCTCCCCCCGATCCCCTCCCACGGTCCCAGAGTGCCCCGTGGCTCCATGCTTGGCAGTCTCCGCTGACAGGCATCCCTGGGTGGCCTCGCCTAGCCTCTGGCCTCTGAACACCTTCTGTATGCTCATGACGCCCCGTATGGATCTCGAGTTCCAGACTCTCTTGGACTCCATCCATCCCCTCCCTGGACACCTGACCATCCTGTCAGCCTGAACACAGCCATGCTCTCAGCTGCAGTCCCCTCCAGGCCTGCGTCTCCTCAGTTCAGGGCAGACTCCACCCTCTGGCTGCGCAGGCCTGACCTCGGCACCGTTTGACTCCTCCCCCTCCTGGCGCTTCCCATATCCATCCCATTGCCCAATGATACACCAGCACGGCTCCTTCTCCTTCCGCCTTCTGTGTCCACTCACAGTTCCCCCACGGGCCATCTCGCTGGCCACTCGATTTGAGAACTTCTCTCCTCACTCTACAACTCAGGGTGCCCTGGGTCCCTCCCCGCCTGCTCTCGCCTGGCACAGTGGACGGCTCAGATACCACTCCACAGCCCTGTCACACTCCTCCCTCAAGAGGTAGAGGAGACTCTTGCTCTGTGCCCGAGTGACTCGCTTGACGAACAGACAACGTGGCAGTGCAGGCAGGCGGCTTCAAGGCTCGGACGTGACAGAACCTCATGCCATGGGACAGAGCAGCCTTGTGGACAGGCCCGCGAGTGGAGGGCCTGAGGCCTCCTGCCCACAGCCACAGGAGTGAGCCGGCAGCACAGCCTCCAGCTCCAGTCGAGCTGCGCCGGGCAAGTCCCTGAGCCAGGACCGGCCTGCTTGGCTGCTCCTGAGTCCACAGGACATGGACTGCGAATGTCCACTGCTTTACGCCCGAGCCTTGCAGGCACCTGTGGCACACCGCACTCCATCTGCCGACTGCCCATCCTCCTCACCAGCATGCGCGCGCCAGGGTGCGCTCAGTCTCCAGCATGCTGCATCAGCCCTGAGTCTGGACAGGGCCTGGCCTGGACGAGCTTGTCAGTGACACAGGCACTCACATCATACAGATGGCTGTCAGGACCTGTGCTGCTGACACACCCAACTGACAAGGGACTGGAATTCTTTTCGCTAAATGATGAATACGTATGTTCGTCAAGTCTATACTAATTAGCACTGTATTTAAGAGCAGACTGTGTTTTATCAGAATTTCTGTTCTTTAAAAATCACCGCCACCAGCCAGGCTCGGTGGCTCAGCCTGTCATCCTAGCACTTTGGGAGGACAAGGCAAGTGGACTGCCTGAGCCTGTGGGTTTGAGACCAGCCCGGGCAACTTGGCAAGACCTCGTCTCTACAATAAAACAAAAATTAGCCGGATATGGTAGCCCGCGCCTGTAGTTCTGGTACTTGGAAGGCTGAGGTGGAAGGATCACTGGAGCCCAGCAGGTTGAGCCCAGCAGGCCACACTGGGGTGGCTGTGAGCGAGCCACCCTGGGTGATGGAGTAAGAGTCTGACTCCCAAAAAAAAAACCCACCACCACCAACAAAATGCCCTAAAAGTTAAACTCTTAGCCAGAAAAAGCCAGAAGGACGAAATGAGAGAAGTTGGCAAGAGAACAGTGACCCATCAACACTTTCACTCCAAAGCAGTCTCAGAACCGCAGCAAGCGGGCCGCGGTTATGCCGGCAGAAGAACGTCGCCCCGAGACTTGCCTTAGAAGGCTCATCCCGCAGGGCTGCCAGTCGGCCCTTCTGGGGGCGCCGCAGCACAGCGCTGGTACCGTAGGGGTCTGTGTGACCATCTGCCACAGGGAACCTGAAGTCGGGGACGCTGTCCAAGTGTGGCCGGCTGAAACATGAACAGAGCAGGCATTACTGGAAGAAAAGCATGGCGCGACCCCCACCGAGAGCAGGTCGTCCCACACGGGAAGGGCCGCCCGGCGGGCCCCCTCACCTGCCCAGGAGCTCCATGGGGCCTGCTCCTGCCAAGGTTTAGTTCCTCAGCCCAGCAGGTGGGCAGTGGCACTCTCCAGGGCAACAGGCACAGGCCACCACGGAGATGAGCCAGATGTACGTCGAGCCCGCCCACGCCCTGTGGCCCCAGGAAGCACGCCCACTTGTTACTCTGCAACGTCCTGCATGCCAAGGCCGTGGCGTGAGGCCAGCTGTCGCAAGGTCCTGGGCTAGGACCCCATCTCAAGGGCCACCTAGGGCACCTGCGAGGCCCCGTGGCAGAAGCCTCTTCCGGCCACAGCCGGGGGCGCTGGCCCTGGCAGCTGGCTTCGGGCTTCTGAGTCTAGAACACAGCCTCATGTGCTGGTAGATGAGCAGAAAACCAACGCCCTTGGCTAAAGAGTTCCCCAGGAAAAGCCAGGGCCCTGGGCAGCGGACACAAGTCGCCAAGGGGAACCACTGTCCTGCTGGCATCAGTCAAGGCCCGAGAGAAGCCGGGTGGCGGCAGAGGGCAGGCAGGCACGTGGCCATGGCATGCCACACCTCCAGCTGTCACGGACTCATTTTCGCTTCCTCTAATAACTCCTAGTTCTCTGAAAGCGGAAGGGGAAGAGTGTGGCTACTTTCCCCTTCAAAAGCCTCGGAGGCAAAGGTTCCGGGAGATGGTACCACTAAGCTGATTCCCATTCGCTCATCAGGGGCCCTGGTGACCCTCACACAACCTGCAGACAGGGCCAGCGCCAGCCCGACTCACCTGCCTGTGGCTCGCACACGCTCAGTGCACTTTAAAGGAAGGTCCCCGTGGGTGTCCGTGAGACTCACCACCCGTCTGCGTGGTGGTGAGGCCTGGAACCGCCTCTGACCACGCATTCAGCTCACTCCGCCGTTCCCTCACTCCTACCGAAACTGTCATCCTTTCTAGGTCACTTCTAGCTTAACTGCTCGGGACCGGGACACGCTTCAGAAAGGACAAAAGCTACTCATTCACAAAGCACATGCATCACTCTGAGGTCCACCAGCGCCTCCTGGCGGGGACCCCCCCAGGCTCACCTTTCCCAGCTGCAACCCACCAGCTCCTCGCTACCCATGGAGCCCGCTCATCCCTTTCTGTCCGCTCTTCGGCAAAGACCATCTCTTCTCGCTGGAGAAGATCACAGACACAAGACAGCCAACTGTGCTGGCCAGCCCTTCTCTCCCCAGGCCCCACCCCCTGTTGCAATGGCTCCTCCCCTCCCTGAAATCTCTAGATCTGCCCCCGGGAAACAAGTCCTGTCCCCTTACCCGCCCCTCCTGCCTCCTGTCTTCAGACCCACATGGCCACTGCGACTGGGACCCTCCCTCCTGCCTCCTTGGGGTGCCTATATCCAGCGGTTCCCCTCTCTTTCACTTTTAAAGTATCTCACCTTGGCTGGCAACATGGGCAGGGCTTCCCTGTCTTCAAATGCCCCCCTTTGCTACCCCCTCCTAGTCAGGGCGACACACCCCTCCTTCCCCTCATTACCAAGACTCTTCATTCAAAAGACTCCCACACATCAAGCTGCTGGTCCCCACGCACCCCACGGTCCTTTTCAGATGCACATCTCCTGCCTTTCTTGGTAGGACCTGCCCTCCTCATTCAGCACTCGAGCCTTTCAGCATCGAGGCTCATCATCACCAAACCCAGCAAGTCTTCTCAGTGCTCGCCTTTGTCAACTTTTCCTCTGGAAGCACATAAACTCTCCTCCTGGAAGGGTCACCCTCCACTGGTTTCAGAGACAGTAAAAGCACCTGGCTCCGACCCTGTAATTGTCTTCACTGATTTCCATTCCTGCTTCCAAGAAACAGGTTCAGCAGGACCAGGCTGCAAGATACCCCAGACCCACCAAACCCTAAACTTGCAAATGCAGAAACACCTGTACAGGCCCCAAGCCTTTTTCTGTTTCAAGCAGGGGCCTGCTTCCTACAGACTAATGTCACCAGTCAGTCATTCCCATACCTTGTGCTAAAGCTTAACTCTTACTTGACCATTTTCTACAAAGAAACAAAAAAAGATTTTTAAGACTTCAGACTGCCTCTCTAGACGTAAGCAGGGAACAAATAAGGATACCAGGGGTTCATGTGCTGGCAGCATGCTGGACTCATTCACAGCCAGCCAGGTCAGCCAACTCCACGTACTGTGCAAGAGTCTTCAAAATATCTACATATCATTAATCCACAGTGTCTCCCAAGAAGCATAAAAAAACTCCCAGTGGTGTGCAAAGTCCACGAACATCAAGGTGTTTCTCAAACCCGTGAGTCACTCTGTGGCTACGACTACCAGTCCCACGTCTCTCATCCCAGCTCTGTCCTCCTGGGCCCCCGCCGTCAGTGCCAAGCTCTGCCAGTGCCACCTTGATACACCCAAATCCTAGCTGGCCATCCCCGCCTTCCCAGCCTCTTCCTATTTCTGAGCTGTACCAGCGGTATCACCCAGGGCCTAGGATCTGCCCTGCAGATTACTGTACTCTCTTGCTTGCTACTGAGGGACAGACCCTTTAGGTCACACCCTGAGCTGTATCTGTTATGCTGCCACATGGCCCAGAATGGCCTTGTAGACACACCATGGGTGCTGAAACATGCTGTCAAGTGGTGAATACCTTACCCATGATGAAGTGAAGAACCTCTCAGCCTCATCTGGTCTAGCTCGGCCCGCAAGCCTTCGATGTTTAGGACAAGCTGATCCTACGAAACAGCAGAAGACTAAGATGACAGCTATCTCCTTTAGGTTTATAAAATGATTCGCTTCGAATGTGCTCAGACATTGAGCATAAACATGACAGGCTAAATCAGCAGTTACAAATATCAAACATTTCCATTCTGAGAAAATCCTCTCAAGGAACACTGCAGTAAACATAAACACCCAGACTGTGACATTAATGCTGCAAGCCCTAATGAATGAAAAACTGTGTTCTAATCATAGGAAAGCTTTTAAGAGGATAAACGCCAAGCCATTAACAAGTACTAATTTTGTACAGAACTCTTTTGGGAGAGAAGGGGAACAAGAGTCACTTGCTACTGTATGTCTCCGAAGATTTAATGGTCTTGTATCAAGCTATCTTCCATTTCTAGATCTGTGCTGTCCAACACTGGCCACGCACGGCTACTGAGCCCTTAAAATGAGCTCGTCTGAACGGACATGTGCTGAACGGACTTGAAACCCACAGTGGATTCCAAAGACTTAACCTGAAAACAAAGAATGTAAAGAGGCCCATTTAAGGCTTGTGCTAATACATAGTAACATTTTGGATATACTGGGTTAAATAAAACTAATTTCACCTATTTCTTTCGACTTTTTAAATTGTGAGTGTTAGAAATTACATACGCAGCTCAGATGCTATTTCTGTCAGACAGCACACTATTACTGATGAAAGGTCTCATGCCGGCATTTTAGCTTTACATAAACCCAGAAAGGACTCACAGTTCTGGGCCACACACACTGCCAGACTCAAAGCACATCGCAGCCATGAAGGCATTCAGCGCAGGAGTGCTGGAGTCCCAGGCAGCAGGCTGGGAGGACCCCCGGGAAAGCTAAGGCAGCTTCCACCCAACACCTGCAGCAACTCTCATAGTAAGACACTCAGTTCAATTCGGCTCTGAACAGATTCCCAAATGAATTACAGAAGCTCTAAGTACCTTATCATGTTGCATTTCTTCTAATTGCTTTTTTGCATTTTCAACTTCTCGTAATAGAGAGTTCTGAAAAAAGACAAACACAGTCCTTTAGAGTCCTAAAAATGCCCCGCGCAATATACAGGCTGGCTACATTTGCTTAAAACACGAACCACCACAGAACAGGTCAGCCAAGTGCAAGGAGTGCTATGGTCCAGTCAGAGGCTGCCCAGGGGCCATCCTGGCTTCTAATAGTGGTTCTCCACCGGATGAAATTTACTCCTTCACAGACCAGATTTTCTAAATGGAGGTATGTCGAGTTCATGGTACAAGTTCATTTTATTCATTCAAACTGGTTTAGGCTAACTTACAGGTTTTGTAATTGACTGGTCAATTGGGAGGCCTGAAATGAAGTGTCAAATCTATTGCTAAAATCAAAAATAAAAATACTCCTACCTCAGGGCTAACCCACTGACCAAGGAGGCACGGGAGTAATTCCTCTGTGCCATCTCTAACAATGCCCTCCGAAATCAGGTTTGTGGGGGGGAACACACGTGGCACGGAACGAGTGGTGAACATGCCCCCAGCCCTGAGAGCCAACCTCAGGGCGGGCTCTGGGCCTCTTCTCCAGGGGCTCTGTGCACTCAGGGCAGGCCCTGGGCCCCAATGCCACCACAGAGCTGTTCAGACAGACACAGGGGAGCCCCTCACTCGGGACACCTTCCATACACCCATGATGAGAATGCTCAGTCCAGGCTTAGACTTTTTCCAAACCAACTGAGAGAGACAGAAGGTGGGGGCTGGTATGGGAGAACGCTTGGCTTGAGCTGATCCAATCTTCTCTGTGACACCATCCGGCCGAGGGCTCCACTCACACATGAGTTATGCTGCCAGGCGGCCTAGAACAGGCCCCGGTATATGCTTCCAGTGCAAGAGCCACGAAGAGGTTAGGGCTGGGCCCAAAAGAGCCTCCGGTGCAGGCGCTGGTGAGCTAGGCCCCCTCGGTCGCATCCCCCGCCCACGGCCCGTTTCTGTAGACGATACTGGAATCCAGCCAGGCCTGTCATGCACGTGTGTGGATGGCTGCGTCTGTGCCAACTACGGATGAGCACAGAGTTGCTTCATTCCTCATGATGACTAAAACCGAAGCCACTTGCCATCTGGCCCTTTACAGCACCGTGTACCTACTTCTGGCCCGAGAATGAGAAGGGTGAACAGTCTTCGAGACGTGCCCACAAGTCAAGGCCACAGCCAACAGTGAGCTCGCTGAGTGCCTACACGGTGGGGTGTGCTTTTCCACCGGGAAGAGGGACTCCCCTCTTCTGAGACGGTGACTGTCCACGGCCACACACTACTCCTGGGAGACGCTGAGCAGCCCTTCTGCCAAGGGCGGGACCCCCAGGGATGCCTGTGCTCCTTCTCACCTTATCTTCTAGGGCAGCCATTCTCTCCTTCAGGTGAAGCTGAAGTCTTTCGTTCGACTCGGAGAGGAGCTTGTCAACAGTGTCTGACAAACGCTTGTTATGTTCCTCATTCATCTTTTCTCTCTGCCGTGCCTAAAACAGGCAAAACAGAGACTTTGCACCATGTTAAAAGGACTGACAGAGTGAGCCACACATGCGCCATCACCCCCCTGGCTGTTCCTCCCACTGCCACCTTTAGTGGACTTGCGCATGGTGACTGACTCACAGACTCGCAGAAATGCGGGGACAAGTCTCAGAGCTATGGTTAACGAGAAGGGTCCACTGCCTCTGGCTGTTTCTGGCTTTGTTTTTTTCCTTCACTGCCTGCTGGGCAGAGTATTCCTGGGCCTCAGGAACGTCGCCCATTGTTAACTGCAAGGCGGACTTAGGGAGATTTACGAGCAGGCACCAGCAGACATCTAAGGGGACCAGCTTGTCTACACGCTGGCAGAAGAACTTCCCTTTTGTAAATAAAAACTTGGGTCTGGATTCGGGGGGAAAAAACGAATGTAATTTACAAAGTAAGCCAGGCGTAGTGACTCACACCTGTCATCCTAGTACTTTGAGAGGCTGAGGTGAGCGGACTGCCTGAGCCCCAGGGTTTGAGACCAGCCTGGACAACTTGGTCAGGCCTCATCTCTACAATACATTTAAAAATTAGCTGGGCGTGGTGGTATGTGCCTATAGTCCCAGCTACTTGGAAGGCTGAGGTGGAAGGATTGCTGGAACCCAGCAGGTCGAGGCTGCAGTGGGTGTGAGCGTGCCACTGTTCTCCAGCCCGGGCAACAGAGTGAGACTCACAAAAAACAAAAAATGAGCCGGGCTCGGTGGCTCAGCCTGTAATCCCGCGCCTTTGGGAGGCTGAGGTGAGTGGATGGCCTGAGCCCGCGGGTTCGAGACCCGCCTGGGCAACTTGGTGAGACCTCATCTCTACAATAAATCAAAATGAGCCGGGCGTGGTAGCGCACGCCTGTAGTTCCAGCTACTTGGAAGGCTGAAGCGGAAGGATTGCCAGAGCCCAGCAGGTCAAGGCTGCGGTGGCCGCTTCCGGCCACCACACTCCAGTCTGAGTAACAAGAGTGAGACTCCAACTCAAAAAAAAAAAAGTTCTGAAAAAAATCAGCAGAGCTGATTCACGTTTTTTCTTTATATGTCTATGTTGCTTAAAATTGATCACAATAGAAATTTATGTTAATTAAAAATTAGAGTCATTTTAAAATGTGATAACAATATTGACAAGTCTGTTTTATAAAACCAATTTTATGGCTCAAAAGCTTTGCTTGACCAGCGTGGGCAACATAGAGAGACCTCATCTCTAAAAAATATCAAAAATTAGCTGGACATGGTGGCACACACCTGTAGTCCCAGCTACTTGGGAGGCTGAGACAGAGGATCACCTGAGCCCAAGAGGTCGAAACTGCAGTGAGTCAGCCCAGGCAACAGAGTGAGAACCTGACTCAAAAACAAACAAAACACAAATCAAAACAAACCCCTTTGCTTCATCCATGTCCTGAGTGACAGGTGGAAGGGGGCAGGAAGCGTTAGCAGGCAGCACCATCTGAGTGACACTGCCATGCCCTCAGAATCCTGGCGCGTCTGCAAGGCTCGGGGCTCCTACCCGGCAGAGGGCACACGCCAGAGTGCACTCAAGCCAGGCTGCCCAGGGAGGAGGTGCAAGCCACGAGGACACGCACGAGGCCTGCCACGTCTCAAGCCCTGGGCGCTCATCTCCTCAGTGGGGGAGGGCGGGAGCAGCCTCGCGCCTTCCTCATGAGTACACTGGAAGGCTGAAACACCAAGCCCTCTCAGAACACTCCCAACATGTGCACGGGTCATTACCTAAGAGGGCCCGGCATGTCACGCAGGACAGAAAGCAGCTGGCTGATGTTCTGTCTTTAGAAGCCAGGCTTGTCTTCTGTCAGCATTTGCACATTTTTAAAGCAAAACGTTTAACTGCCGTGGTCATAAACACCCCCACTGCACACTTGTCCCCCGTAACTCCATTCACCAGTTCCAGCAGGAATGAAGTGGGTAGAAACGGAAGTCTCCGCGTTCGGGGTGAGTGTGCACGAGACAGCGTGCGCGCGTGCCCACATGCATGGGGGAGGGGTGCCCGCTATGCCATCTCCTCCGCGGAGTCAGAGTCGTCACTTCCCGGAAGCACGTCTGGAAGCACGCAGCGCCTGGCCAAGGCCAAGTTTCCGACGAACCCAACATCCAAGGGCCCTGAGGGAACGCCGTGGCGCTGGCCGGCGTGGACACGGGGGCTCTGCAGGCGCCCCCTGCCCCCTCGACCCACAGCCCGCCGGGCCTGGTGCCCAGTCCCGGGGCTGCTCCTGCTCTGTCTCCCCCGACTCTTGCAGGGAGAACTCTCCTGACACAACTGACAGCTCCTGCAGGCCACGCTCTCGGCGTGCCTTCTCACACAGCCCCGGCCGCGGCTCGCCTTGCTCCGACAGGCACTGGGATGCTGGCATGCTTCATCCTGGGCTCGAGGGCAAGCTCCTGACCCAAAGCCAGGGCTTCAGTGCCACACGCCAAGCAAGCAGACTAGCCAGCCAGGGCAATGGGCTTCCTGTGTCTCGGGGGTTCCAGGCCAGTGCCACAGGTCTGCCTCGGGGATCATGAGGCCCTGCTTGTACCAGGAGCTCCCCAATAGGCCACCAGAGGAGCGGGAAGCCTCCCTGGCCGAGAGTGCTCTGTCACCCCTGCAGTGCTGCCTAGGGCTACCAACATGGACGTAAAACTGCCCACGTGCGGGAGTCCGCATCAGCGGACAACTCACAGATGAGACGAGGCAGCCAAGTAAAGCCCATGACGGGGAACGGAGCCGGAGGGCCGCCATGCCCACCGGGCGAGTGCAGAAGAGCCGCCACCCTCGGCCAAGCCACGGTGCGCCTCGGTGGGTACTCACCCGCTGCAGCTCCTGGTTCTTCTCCTCCAGCTGCGCCTCCATCTGCCGCAGCCTCTCTTCGATGTTGCCATGTCTCTCTTCAGCCTGTCGGCGAAACCACCATCAGCAGCCTCGCCCTTGCCCGCCCCATGTCGCACACAAGGGCAGCAGCGACAAGCACTACATGCTCTGGTGGCCGCGCTCCGCCTCCTGGAAAGCAGCACTCGCTCTGCAGCTCCTGCGGGGCTCGCGTGCTCGGCCACGAAGCAAGCCAGGCTGGTGCTGGCCACCGCCTGTGCCGCCCACCCCATGCCTGGAGCAGAGGACGCGTGGCGCTGCCCGTCCTCAGACTGCTTCTGGAGGGTTGCACGGAAAGCAGAAAGCAGCAAGCACGGGTGAGAAGCAAGACGATCTACCTTCCTGAGCTTGGAAGCAAGCTCCGACAGTTTAGCCTCCTGCACGGCAGAGCTCCCGGAAGACAAGGGGTCAGACTACAAAGCCCACCACGGCAGCAGAGACAGCGGGAGAAGAAACCGAGACTTTAAAGGCCAATCACAGAGGACAGGAAAGGCTCGGGAACGGCTGTCCGCAGCTGCCTGGTGAAAGACAGGTCTGGCAGGCCAGCAGGGCCACCCCGGTGGTCCGGAACTTCTCCTGGACCGCCCCACCAGCAGCTTGCGAGGCTCCAGCCAGGAGAAGTAGGACTGACAGGTGGAGACACGGGCCTGCCCTGCCTGGCCACTGCATCCTGGCCCTGCGGGGTCTTCCTTGCACCCGGAGGCTGCCTGGCTCACCAGGGTCTGAGTTTCCAGAGGCCACACCCTTCCTAGGTGCAAGGCCCCATCACATCCCCCGAGGGTGCCTCTTTGCATGCCTCCCCTGAGGGTGGGGAGAACTTCGAGGGCCAGGACTGGGCCCTGCACGCACCTGGCCAATTGTTGTCCAACAAAGGGATACTCCTTAAAAACATATTTTTAAGTAATTTCAAAAGAACACAATTACTTAAAAATGTGTTTATTAAAAATTTTGGTTTTTTTTAAAAGAAGGGTATTTTCTTATTTCTGAGAAAAGCTATCCTTCTGCTACACAAAGCTCTGATGCGATGCTTGGACTTGGTGACACTGACCCCGACACTGACCCTAACCCTAACCCTAACCCTAAGAAGCAGTGACTCGCAGGTCACGCCTGCCGTGGACAAGCAGCATAGCCCTGATGAACCTGGAGGTGGACTTAGGGATAACAAGAGGAGATTCCTGCCTGATGTTTTAAAAAGCATTCGATCCTAGACAGAACAGCACTAAAACCAAGCCCGAGCTGATCCCCGGACTCAGGAATGCTGATATGAGCACAGCGACAGACCACAGTCTCAGCGGCAGACCCCAGGAAGCCCAGACCAGCACCTTGGAGAGCGCCGCCACCCTCTGGGCCAGCTCGGCCTCCACCTCGGGCAGCGTCTCTGCTTTCCTCAGCGTCTGCTGCAGCTTCTGCTCTGCCAACTCCAGGCGCTCCTGCAGCTGGCGGTTTTTATCTTCAGTCTGCGAACAAGAGAAAAGCATCAAGGTGTGCGAGCCTTCCACCACGCCTGACTGGGAGAGACTGGCGTCGACCGCAACACGGCACAGACTGAGCACCGCAGAGCTGGCGGCCGCGTCCCGGCCAGGCCCTTCTTGCTGCCCGCCTTCTTGGCTCGACTTCAGTGTGCGAAGCGCCTCCTGGCGAAGCGCTCTCTTCGCCAGCCGCCTTCAGAGCAGTTTGATAAAAATGACAACAGCCAAGAGCGGTTCCCAGACACTAATGAAAACTAGTTTTTCGCAGAAGCTTGCCCATCCTTACTAGAAAGCTCACGGTAAGAAGGGCTCGCCAACCCTTGTTAAAAAAAATTACCAAACCCAGCAGGGCGCAGTGGCTCTCACCTGTCATCCCAGCACTTGGGAGGCTGAGGCGAGAGGATTGCCTGAGCCCAGGGGTTCAGATCAGGCACCCTTTTTGACTGTTATGAGCCCCCGCCATGATTATTCGTTTCAAAAACTCTCTTACTCTGAACAATTTCAATGTAAACAAGATAACAACATTTTTAAAATCTAAAAACCATCTTAGATCCAGATTCCTGAGAGGTTCATGTGTGCCTGCACACAGCTTTCCTCTCGTCTGTGTGCTTTCATCTCCATATGTGCACACAGACAGGACATCATGCTTTAAAACCCTCAAAGATTACACTACACTTTATGTACTGTTTTGTTTGTTTTTGAGTCAAGGTCTCACTCTGTCACCCAGGTGGGAATGCAGTGGCTTGATCACAACAATCACAGCTCACTGAAGCCTTGACCTCATGGGCTCAGGCGATCCTTCCACCTCAGCATCCCAAGTAGCTAGAACTACAGGTGCATGCCACCACGCCTGGCTAAATTTTTGATTTTTCATAGATACAAGGTCTCGCTATGTTGCCCAGGCTAGTATTGAATTCCTGGGTTCAAGCAATCCACCCACTTTGGCCACCCAAAGTGCTGGGATGAAAGGTGTGAGCCACCGCACCCAGCCTATGTACTGTTTTAGAATCTGCCTTTCAAAGTCATCATTATCATGAACATCTTACATGTTCTTAAATGTCATTCCACAACAGCACTTTTAAAGGCTGCCTAACATCTTCGCTTTCATTTTTATTTTTGGCCAAATGTTTGTACACCTTATAAAATACCAGACAAACACTGTATTTTCAAGAAGCCTGATTTAGGGTTTTCTGGTTAACTCTTGATTATCTAAGACTAGAGAAAAACAGGACTAAGTAGGGTTTACTAAATCACAGGAAACACAACTTTTTTTTTTTTTTTTTTTTCTGAGTTGGAGTCTCACTCAGTCACCCAGACTGGAGTGCAGTGGCCGCTCCCAGCCACCGCAGCCTCGATCCGCTGGGCTCCGGTGATCCTTCTGCCTCAGCCTTCCAAGTAGCTGGAACTATAGGCGTGCGCTACCACACCCGGCTGATTTTTTGAATTATTGTAGAGATGAGGTCTCGCCAAGTTGCCCAGGCGGGTCTCGAACCTGCAGGCTTAGGCAATCCATTCACCTCAGCCTCCCAAGGTGCAGGATTATAGGCTGAGCCACCAAGCCCGGCTTACAACTTCTTATACAGACCTAGTTTCTCAATTTGCCACTTATCATATTATTCCCAGTTACTAATAAGCAGACAGCTGCCTTAAAGTTCTTTCCACTCTAGGCCCCTTTGGTGAAATGCTAAAAAGCAACAGATGAACTTTCAATCAAAACAAAACAAAAGAAATACTCAAGGAGGGCAGCTCCACAGGACAGTTCAACCAAATCCTAAACAACCAAAGCTTGTAAACCGACGCAACCCATACTTCTTGAACATAATCTCTAAGGTCATAAAAACTTCATGTCTGGACATGAGAGTCTCAGGAAAAAGCCTTTAACTCTATTACCTGTCGATGCATGGAATCTTTATTTGCAATTTCGTTTTCAAGCTTATCGTTGAGGTCATGTACAGATGTGGCCTCACGCTGTGCAGCGAGGTAGCGCTTTTCAAGGGTCGTGATTCTTTCTTCCATGTCTTCCTTCTGGGCCATGGCCTAAATTAGGTGTTTCAGAGGGAAAAGGGTAGGTAACTAATATGTAACACATTAGTAGACTTAAGAAGAAAAGGTTGGACTACATCCCACATTTCAAATCAAATATAAAATCAGTGTCCTCAAAATTAACTTGCTAGATGCCCATTTTCTCAACTGTGGATGAAAATGCACCAACTTTGATGATCATAGATATTCATCTATACAATTAGCAAAGACTCATCTGTTGTGATACTGTGTCTGGCCACTCAGTTGACCAAGCTTATCCTTTTCCACACCATACTTTCACCAAAAACATATCATAAAATACCCCTAATAAAAAGTCTAACAAAATAAACTGCAGAAGTTCAAGGAGGTGAAATTACCCTCAATAAAGATGCAGCCTGTATCTGCATGGTGCTATAAATGGTCTCACAGGACAGGGCGTGGCCTCCCAATGGGTACAGCAGTGAGACCCAAGTCTCATTTTCTTGAGAAAAGGCTGGATGAGATCTCCTACAGTTATAAGATTCAAGCATACTAACAAATGGAAAGAGAAGTCAAAGTTTAATTTAATAGGAGGCAACCACCTGAAAGCTGTAGCAAAGTTAATACTATGCAGTATCAAACATTTGAGACTAAGACCAGAACCTTTTGCTTGTGCAATACCTGTCCTCCATCCCCCAAATACACTATTTTTAGGTCCTTCCCTATTTACTAAATAATTAATGTTAGCAAAGTCTTAGTATTAAAAGTGACGGAGCTGGGTGCAGTGGCTATACTTGTAATCCTAGCAATTTAGGAGACCGAGGCAGGAGGATCGCTTGAGCCCAAGAGTTCGAAACCAGCATGGGCAACAGAGCAAGACCTCATCTCTAAAAAAAAATTTTTTTAATTAAATAAGTTAGCTGGGTGCAGTGGCATGCATCTGTAGTCCCAGCTACTCAGGAGGCTTAGATGGAAGGACTGCCTGAGCCCAGAAGGTTGATGCTGCAATGAACTGTGATTGTGCCACCACATACCAGCGTAGGCGACAGAGACTCTGACTCAAGGAGAAAAAAAAGGGCTAGGTCTTAAAAAAAAAAAAGAACTTCAAAATTCTCTGCATATTAACCTCTACCACATAATCACCTGCTGTAGCCAAAGAATGTTACCTTAATAGGTTATATAATACACACAGATCTTTGTTCCGAATTCTTACATAAAAGTACTTGCACCAAACGACCAAACTGAAAGCAAACCTGTCCTACATGTGTTAAACAGTCAAGAGGATCTCACGGGGGCACAGAGGACAGGTTAGAAAACACGAGGAGCACGAGAGAAGGCATTTAGCCCTCATTTGTTCTATGATTAAGCCCTTCCTCATAAAAAGCTATAATATCTTGGACGTCTTTTCACATCCAGATCCTGACGGCCCAGGTGTGAGCAAATCCCACGTCACTGTTGGTCTGACCAACACTCACACCGCATGTTCCGTGAAGGGAGTGGGGAGGCGGATGACTGCCAGTGACACCCCTCCCCACGGTCGAGGCCATGCCCCCGTCATTCCCTGTGAACCAGCAGCACAACCAACATCAACATCTGCCTGCTGCATACAAGCGTCTCTGAAGGAAATCAGAACGCAACGGGGAACAGATCAAGAAGCCTTGGAGCTGCCAGGTGTAGAGTCCACCAAGACAGATGCTAAACCCTCCCGCAGCAGCCCAGGGGGGCGGCCGGTGTGGCGACCCAGTTGCAGAAGCCCCGGGACTAGTTCACCTGGGTCTCTAAAGTCCTCAGGACAGGGGACCCTGCCTGTCACGGCCTCACACACGCTTTCCCCAACAGACCTCATATCACAATCCAAAGGCGGAAAGAAGTGTGGCGAGCAGGCCCACAAGGAGCAACACATGCGTGCATAAATGTGCCCACTATCCAACCCCCCCACCAGCATTTTGCTTCCCACCAAGACTGCAGTCCTCCCGCCACTCACTTCCCGGACATCTCGTTGCAGCTTTGTGTTCATCTCTTCCGACTTGATGAGATCCTTCCGGGCGGTGTCCAAGTCCTCCTCCAGCTCTGTCACATGACTGGAGAGGGCAGCCAGGCGCTCCTTCATCTGGCTCTGCTCCCTGGACTGCTTACTGATGATTTCCTGGAGCTCGATTACTTTAGCAAGGTCTTCTTCATGGCTTAAAGAACCATCAGAGGATCTCTGCCAGGAAAACAAAGATACATGTCCTTTAATACCCTCGTGTGGTGAGCTGCGAGACTAATTCCAGGAACCAGGTACAGTCAAACCTGATCCACACAACCTGCCGGATGCCACGACCTTCCTGACCACACAAGCCTTAAGCCAGTGCTCCAGCCACGGCGTCCAGAGACCCCAACACACTCACGCAGGAAAGCGAGGCGAGCAGCAGAGCAGGAAAAGCCCAGAGACTTGCCTTGCCGTTTGTGCTTGGCGCATTCTCCTGCTCGTGGTTTACGTCAAGCACTCCATCTGTTAGTGTTTTCTTCTGGTTATTCTGTTCTTTAAGAATCATTAGCTAAAATCAAAAAGGTGGATATAAGAGTGAAATGCCTTACACGAGAGAAGCAAAAACAGCAAAACTCCTTTTGGGAACACACACCTATAAACGGTCAAATTCGGTATAGAAAGAAAGCAGGCGGCAAAACGACCCGACCCGAACACAAACAGATCACGAAGAACGGAGCGTGTCAGCAACGGGACAAACGGGTTCAAGATGACCCAGACTGGCTGGTCCTCCATCAGAAAGACCCATAACATCGACACCCACTGCCACAGTCCTCATACTTTTTTTAAAGCATGAAGGGACGACAATAAAAACTTCCCACCTCAAACCACGCACCGACGCTTTGTGCCCTCTCACCTCTTTGTGTGTGGCGCCTAATTCTTCTTCCAACCAGCTACATCTCTCAAGTGCGACTCGCAACCGCTCTCTCACCTGAAAAAGGGGCGAGTTGGTGTGCATGTGTATATGCATATATTGTACTCTTAATGTATAGTTATTTTACTGCGGTATTAGTGCGATGTGACATAACAGAATAATATTAATGTCTTACATTGATCTGTCAAGAAAACATCCTGTTAATGGTTTCAAATTTTAAGTTTGAAAAAACTTCCCTCTAAATAAATCACATTACCCAATTTTTTTTTTTTTTTTTGGCTTTTTTTTTTTTTGAGTTGGAGTCTTACTCCGTCACCCAGGGTGTAGTACTGTGGCACACACACTCATGGCCACCCAAGGGTCAACCTGCTGGGCTCCAGCAATCCTTCTGCCTCAACCTTCCACAGGAGCCAAACTACAGGCGTGCACTACCACACCCAGCTGATTTTTGATTTACTGTAGAGACAAGGTCTCGCCAAGCTGCCCGGGCTGGTCTCAAACCTGCAGGTTCAGGCCATCCACTTGCCAGGGTCTCCCAAAGTGCTGGGATTACAGGCTGAGCCACCACGTCCAGCCTACTACCCAATCCTTAACAGCAAATTACTACACAGAATTAATCAATTCTAGGACATGCACACCAATTAGTACTTTTTAACCATATAGAACCCTGCTGTCGAGAACACTGATTTCCAAGAATCCAGAAGCATCCAAAAGAAGTCACGCAAGCAACAGGAAAGCTGCCCAACACACAGCATGCTCACAAAGCGAGACTGTCACGGAGCCGGCAGCACCTTTTCATCCAGAGCCTTGTGGTGCTCAAATAACGACTTGAGCGCCTTCAGCACTTCGACCTCGCTGGACACGCCCGCCGGCGACTGTGCCTGCCTCTTCACCACGGTCATCCTGAGGGACCGCTCGTGCCGGGAGACAAGGCATTCCAAGTGCTCCAGCAGCAGCTGCAACAAAGGCCAAACACAGGCGTGTTCAGAGAGCGCTTCCGACTTCACATTCGGATCCGGGGCCAATAACTGCCTCACAATCCCATGCTACAACAGGTGGGAATCCCTTCAACTTGGCACAAAGCTAAAGACAGTCTCCTCGAATGATTTACAATATGAATTCTCATCCAAATTCCAAGCAATGTGCTGTCGTGTGGAGCTTGCCAACCAGTCTGCTCGGTAGGAGGAAGTATGAGATGTGTCTAGAAGCCGACGGAGCAGACCCTCTTTCCCCATACCCGCTCCGGAGGCCCATGGTGGTCAGCAAGGTCCACCTACTAACCCTGGTGTTGTTCCTTTCCGCCTTCAGTTCGGCAATTTCTTCTTCCCTTTCAAGCAGCTGTTCCCTGCAGACATTGAGTTCTTTAGTAAGTGCCGCAAATTCCTAGAAGACAGCAAAATAAATAAATAAGCAGACAGGCAGAGGTCCTCTAAGAAAGCCTTCCATCAAGGCTCCGCAGTCTTCACACAAAGGCAACCTCGTCACAGGACACAGGGAGGGACCCGGGTCCTCTGGAGAACGAGGGTCAGCCTGGCCGAGGACCACACAGACCACCTAGGAAATCAGAACCGTGACTCAGACTACCTGACTGTCCCCCGACTCCGCGCCTGGCCGGCGGACAGCAGAGAGTGAAAGGAAACCCAAAAACACCCTCTCAACAACCAGAGAAGTCCAAAACACCTTCCTGAGCAGGATCCTGCTGAGAAGTGGCTTACAGACACGTGACTCAGAATCACGGGGAGGATGAAGGCGAGAAGGCCACCACCCGCCCAGCTTCCTTCCTGGTCCTCGTCCACTGGACCACAGGGCTTTAGAGAGGCCCCGGGCAAAAGGCTGATGTACCCCAAGGTCAATCTCTCAGCCTGAATCAATTTGTTCAAGTCAACTATTAAAAAATGGACTTTGAGGGTGGAGGACATTGAAGAAAAAAAGGAAAAAAAAAAAAAAATGGACTTTGCTGCTGGGCTCGGTGGCTCAGCCTGTAACCTTGGGAGGCTGAGGTGAGTGGAGTGCCTGAGCCCACGGGTTCGAGACCCGCCTGGGCAACTTGGTGAGACCTCATCTCTACAACAAATCAAAAAATTAGCCAGGTGTGGTAGCGCGCACCTGTAGTTCCAGCTACATGGAAGGCTGAGGCGGAAGGATCGCCAGAGCCCAGCGGGTCGAGGCTGCGGTGGCCGGGAGCGGCCACTGCACTCCAGCCTGGGTGACAGAGTGAGACTCCAACACACACACACACACAAATGGACTTTGCACAAATGCCTCTGTAGAGAGAGACGGTCTAAGGAGACTTACATCTTTAGCCAAGCAGAAGAGTTTCTGGAGGACACACTGAGAGAGCAAAGCCGAGCAGCCCCACCTTCCGGGTCAGCCTCTCACTACATCATGAAGCCCCTCACACGGACACCACGGACAGGCTGTGTTGGAAGAAATGGATTTGCTTTCCCCTGCCAATTTTTCAAAGGAGCAAACTCCTCTGAAATACGCAAAATCATCTGCCAATGTTTCTCAGTGTTTTCTCTTTAAGGACAAACAAGGGCTAAAGGCATATTGGGCAAATAATCAGGCATTCAGAAATCAAAAAGTAATTGGGTTAGGTAATTCTAGAAAATCTGTATACAAATAGGTAGGGAGCATAAAGCACACTCATAAATGTCTCCTTCACAACTCTCAAGGTCATCTTCACTATAGAAACCACACACCCACTGGAGGCTGAGCACACCAGGCCTGCGCCACAGCACTGAATGAAGTCTGCATCCGTGAAGGAGAGGCAGCAGCCGGTGTGTAGTGCTGCAGGCACTGGTGGAAGGGAGACACTTCAAATGCTGGTTTCTTTTTCTTTTCTTTTTATTTTTTGAGTCAGAGTCTCACTGTCGCCTAAGCTGGAGTGCAGTGGCATGCACACAGGCACCACAGCTTCGACCTGCTAGGCTCAGGTGATCCTCCTGCCTCAGTCTTCCAACTAGCTGGGACTACAGGTGTGCGCCACCACACCTGGCGGGTGTTTTAATTTATTGTAGAGATGAGATCTCGCCACATTGCCTAGGCTGGTCTCAAACCTCTGGGCTCAGGCAGTCCTCTCGCCTCGGCCTCTCAAAGTGCTGAGATTACAGGAATGAGCCACCGTGCCTGGCCACCACGCCTGGCCACCACATGTTGATTTCTTACTGAATGTTGCTATTTCGGGGGAGCACAGCAGAGGGGATGAGTAGACTGGTGACTCCCAGACACCCCGACGCAGGTGTGGCACAACTGCACAGAAGGGCCTGCTGCTTCCTCGCTTTCTCTTCCAAATGACTGCTTCTCCTTCAAGAGCCCATGACCGCGGTCAGTCAGGAAGCAGCATGAGGTGCTCCTGACTGGCTCCCCAGAGAAACTGGGGAAGATTAGAAAAGCAACGACTCAGAGCCCCTGGAGGTGGTTCCGCGGGCACACAGCCAATGAAGAAACATGCCCGAAACGTCAGCAGGAGGGCACGAGCCGGCGGCATCTGACCCAACATTGCTCTCTGCTCCCCTCTCCGGTCAGCAAGGCGACTCCATCCCAGAACGCTGCGGCCAACCCTGCAGGCCCCCGCCCTCCCAGCCGTGCAGGGCCCTCTCCCTGCCCCCGCGGGTCTCCGACCGCCGTTCTTCCTGGGAGGGGCAGGCCTTCGTCGTCTCCCATCTGCTCCGCTGCCTGACGCCCCAGCCCGTGTCACAGGGCAGAACGTGGCTCCTACTTCCACCCAGTCTCCACTCTCAGATGGAGCTCACCGTGGGTATGGCGGCTGAGAATGCCGGGCCCTGGTCAGCTGTGCCCTGGCTCTGGAGGCGGTGGTTCCAGGGCTGGAGTGACAATCCCGGAGGACCCTGGGCAACAACTCCAGCAGGGGTATCACGCAGAGGGACCCTGGCCATTGTCTCACCTCTAGCTCCAGGGCCCTGGTTCAGAGATTGTGCCTGGGAGAGGATGCAGACAGAAAAAGAAAGAACTCCTGACATCCTCCCAAAGGCACTCACTTCATTTTCAAGGAAGCCTGATGAGGCTCAACCCTAAGGGAGCTTTCGAGAACAGCGGAGGTGCTGGTGAAAGGCGCTGAGAGGAGACGCAGAGGCCCGAAGACGCAGCCTGGCCTGCTGGCAGCTCACACACAGAAGGAACTGGTGGACACACAGCCAGAAAGCCTGAGTGGGAGCAAGCCGAAAACACCGGTTTCTCAAGCAGCTGCTGGGAGGCAGCCACGACCGGAGGGCACTGGCCTGTCATTATCCCAGGGCGCCGATGAAAACGGCGGCCAATGAGAGTGTGGCAAGAGGGCGGGGCCCAGAGCCACTGCGGCCCACCCAAAGCCACGGCTGAGCATGGGGCACAATACACGCCCCGGCCAAAGCCAGCCATGCGCTCATCTGGCCAACATACGTTTTATGTTACTTATATTTTACTAGCATTGAAATGCATATTTTATAAATAAATTACACAGTGCGCTCTGGAGACAAGACTGCTCAAGAGAGCATAAAATTAGCTAAAGAACACAAAAAGTTCTGCAACTCAATATTCCAATGCATACCTGCAAACACCAGGAAATTCCACCAGCACGAAAGAAAAGTCATTCAACTGTGCCTTAAAACCCAATAAAGATTCTGGCAACTGCTGAAACACCTTGGAGACCCAACGGGGAGCATTCAGAAGTGGTTTCTTGGCTGGCAGCACTGTGGGAGGGTGAAGCCAGGCGCCAAGGAGCCCAGGCCTCCTTCCACACTCTCCCATCAAGTGTGTTTTCAGAGATGTCTCACGCATGTGCCAATACTAATCTTCTCAAACACCCTCATTTATATCTGTGGTAATTAACTCTAGGTGACTACTGTCAGATCATCTACTACTAATGTTAATGAGAGAGTATCATCTTATTAATAGGACTTTGTGTCAGAAAAGATTGTTACAGGCAAAAAAAAAAAAAAAAAGACTCAAACTAGCTTAATTAAAAGGCAACTAATATTCACATAACTGTCAAGTCCAAGGGTAGAACCCCTGAATTCAGAGTCTGAATGTTAATTTTATCCCTCTGTCCCACTTGTGACTGTAATCTGGGTCAATTTTGTGAAGTAACTGCCAATTCACTGACTCAGTCTTTGCCTATGTTCTGCCCAGAGTCCGGCGTCCTGGCGAATAGCTTTTTCATTTACCAGATTTCCAAGGTGCTGTTTTTTGTCATGCCCTTGTGCTCTGGTTTCATTTTGTTTTGTTGGACAATTTCTTGTTTGTCTGCCTGGATGTTAATTTGCCATTCTAAGCACCTTACACATGCTGGCGCCGGGCTCGGTGGCTCACCCTGTAATCCCGCACCTTTGGGAGGCTGAGGTGAGTGGATTGCCTGAGTCCGCGGGTTCGAGACCCGCCTGGGCAGCGAGACCTCATCTCTACAATAAATCAAAAATGAGCCGGGCGTGGTAGCGCATGCCTGTAATTCCAGCTACTCGGAAGGCTGAGGCGGAAGGATCGCCGGAGCCCGGCAGGTCGAGGCTGCGGTGGCTGGGAGCGGCCGCTGCACTCCAGTCTGGGCGACAGAGTGAGACTCCAACTCAAAAACAAAACAAAACAAACAAACAAACAAAAGCAACAGAAAAAAGAAAAGCCACTGCTACTTCAGTCATGGCAGCATTGAACTTATCTTAGGGTTCAGTGAGATGAAGAGACCGTGGGTCAGATTTTATAAAAGTTTCCAGTTTGTTTAGCGGGGTGTGGGAGCACATGCCTGTAGTTCCGGCTACTTGGAAGGCTGAGATAGAAGGATCGCCTGAGTCCAGCGGGTCGAGGCTGCGGTGGCCGGGAGCTTGCCACTGCACTCCAGCCTGGCCGGCAGAGTGAGACTCCAACACACACACACACACACACACACACACACAAAGCTGAAAGTTTGTGGTTTTCTTCCCTTGTGTCCCTCTGTCTCTCTTCTTCTGTCATTAGGATGCAGGTAATAGGTAGGTGCATGGACGGGTAGATAGATTTTTTTTTTAAAGCAACAGGGTCTCGCTCTGTTGCCCGGGTTGGAGTGCAGTGCTGGCAGTCACAGCTCACTGCAGCCTCCAACTCCTGGGCTCAAGCAGTCCTCCTTCCCCAGCCTCCCGGGCAGCTGGGATTACAGGTGTGCGCTACCACACCCAGCTGATTATTTTTTGAAGAGCTGGATCTCACGTGTACCCCACAGTTCTAAAACACTGTAGGGGGTTCCCAGAACTCTAGGAAGTTGTCAACTTCTTCGAGACCGAAAGTAGAATGAATGGTGGGTGCCAGGGGCTGGGGAGGGTGTGGGGACCTGGTGCTGAATGGGGACAGAGTTTCCATGGGGCAAGACGAGGGCGTCCTGGAGACCGACAGTGGTGATGGCTGCACGACATGGGAATGTGCGTGATGCCACTAAGCGGTACACTCAGAAGTGGCTAAGATGGTAAGCTGTATGTTATGCGAATTGTACTACAACCAAAAAGGAAGAAAAGACCCTCGCTGGAGGCAAAGTCTATGTCTTCTGAGCCTCCGGACGTGGGGGGTAAAGTATTGGGAAAGGGGTCTGGTTTTGCAAATGGAAATAAACCCCTGAAAGCCGACCTGAAGAAGTGA